GCCTCCTTTTAATTAAAAAAAAAAAAAAAAAACAAAAAAAGGAGCAAAAGGAAGTGTTCAATGAGCAGACTGACTGAGCCACTCTCCTTCACCCAGCCAGGCTGGCAGAGCTGGGAACAGGCATTTGAGCCCCAAGGCCAGGGGGAAGCTCTCCCCCTGTGGGTGCCATGCAGGGGCTCAGCCCAGCACATCCCTGTGCTGCAGGGGAAGGCAGGAGAGTTCAGGCAGGAGGAGCTGCATGGGGCTGCCCTGACAGCTTTAACTCACTGGCAAAAAGCTCTTTCTGCAGCCAGACTCATCCTCCAGCTGTGCAAGTCTCCAAAATGCCCAAATCCGTGCTTGTGTTTCAGGCACAGTTTGAAATTTCCCCCTGAGCCTACAAACACAGCGAGGCCAGACTTCCCAGGTGGATTCCAGGGCTGGGCACCAGCCCTTCCCTGCTGGGATGTACAAAAGTTTGGAAAATGTGATCTTGGAGAGCTTTCCCAGCATCAGTGATTCTGTGGGGCCAAGGAAGCCCCAGGAGCTGCTCCCAGACCCCCAAAATGACCTCAAACCCAGCATTTTCCAAGCTCACCGGATTTCAGATGAATTCCACCTTTTCTCTGGTTTTCTCTCTCTCATGATTCCTCCCTGCCACTTTTCAATGTCTGGGTGGGCTCATGTCCTGTGGCGTTTTCCAGCATTCCCTGGAGCAGAACACGACCCTGCTCGGCCAAAAGGAGCAGCACACTGGGCAGCAAAGAGCCCTGCTCAGCTCTCCTGGGAGAAATCCTGGGGGAAATCCTTACAAAACAAAGACTTCAACAAAATAAAGGCAGAGCAGCCTCAGCAAAACCTGCAGTCTTTTCCAAGGTGACAGAAAATTAATTCCCTGAACGCCTTGTAAGGATTTTTTTTTTTTTTTCCTGCTTGGAGCAGATATGAAGGGTTTGCCCAAAGAACAGCAATAAAACCTTGCTGGTGATAAGAAGGCTGCTGTGCCTTGCTGAGGAGCAGGCTGCTGCAAGTGCCACGGAACCAGGCCAGAAATGCCCCAAACCTCCATTCTGGCAGTTCTCAGTGTCTGTAACGTTTCCCTTTTCTTTCTGAAGTCATGGCCTTGCAGCCCAGCAGCAAACAAAGGTTCATTTTAGCCCTTATTGCAGCTAATTACTGCTCCTCCTGATTGCTGAGCCCGGCCTAATGCTCCTCTCTGTGATGGCTCCAGAAGGACTCGGAGTCTTTAATGGGACATTTTCTATCCAGCAAATCTGGGGGGGATTATTTATCTCTTTTTATTCAGAAGAAATTCCCTCCTGGCTCATTTGGAGGTGGTCTCTGTACCTGATACATTTTTAAGGGGAATTCAGAGCAGGGATGTTCCAGGGGTGGTTTTCTCCCTGCTGTGGGTAGCACCAATCCTTGCCACACAAAAAGCTGTTTGGACTCACAGATTCCCTGGTTTCCATGACCCCCCAAACCCAGGCTGGGCAGCAGATTTGGGGCTCTGCACCTCTGAGGTGCCCTCAGAGAGATATAAATCTTTTCCTGGGCTTTGTGTGGGTACAAAAGATTTTTTCCCAAGGCCACAGAGGGTGTGAGGAGCACTGAACTGCCAAAGTGAGAGCCTGAACTGTGATATCTCCTCCCCAAACTGAGCTGAACTCCACCTCTCACTGCCAAGAACCTCGGGCTTTAAAAATAATCACTTTTGGGCTCGGGCTTGTGGCTTGTGGGGCTTTTTTTATTTTTATTTATTTTTTTTTTCCCAGAGAAGGAGGCCAGCAGCAAATTGCACAGGAGAAGGGTTCCCTGCAGTGCTCTGAGCCAGAGGAGAGGGAAGCAGCAGCTGATCAAAAGATGTTGAACTTGCTGGGGATGAGCTGCCTGCTAGGAGCAAACAGCAAGAGCTCCTTGATTCCCAGCCAGGCCCTTTCCCATTATTCTAATGCAAGTGGAGCTCACACCTGCACTGATGGAGCTGGCTGGGAGCTGCTTTTGGAGGGCATAACGTGGTTTTATTGCAAAGGAGGGACAAACCCCCTCCCTGGGGCTGGGGAGAGCACGGGGCAGTGCTGGATGGGCTGGGGAGGGAGCAGGAGGAATCCTGCCAGGCCGGGGAGAGGCTGAGCAGAGCCAGGCACGTCTCACACTGACGTCTGCCACAGCACAGAGCCTACAACCACCTCCTTGCAAGAAAAAGAAACACAGAGAATTCACTATTCCTTCTTACATTAAAATCACTGCCTCCTACATCCACATCATTGCTGTCAGAAACATCTTGATTTTCCACACCTAAGGGGCTATGGAAAAAAACAAGCATTTCTGCTAAAAATAAGGGGTTTTTTTCCCCCCCCACAAGCTGTATTTATTCAGATCTCTTTTCCTCTAAAATGCAGCATTATTTTAATTTTAATTTAATCCCATATCTGCATAATTGCAGCACTGCCAAACAAACAAATCAGAGTCGCTGGGAAGCAGGAGCAATGCAAAACGTGGATTTAACCAAATTCAATTCCAAACATTTTCCTGTGAACATTCCCTCACAGAAGAGCCACACTTCCCACAGAAATGTCCACGTTTTCATCACAACAAGCATCTCCCCTTCAAACGAATTTTGCATCAGAGAATTTATATTACAGTCAGATCCAGCTCTGAGAGAGCACTTAGGAAATCAGTGCCAGCCCCTCGTGAAACCATCCCCTGCTCTGCTGATTGATTTATCTGAGTTCCTTGGTGTGCTGCTCGTAGGGAACGCGGGGTCCTGAAAATCCCATCCATTTCCCCACGGATGTCCTGGCTGGAGATGGTGCAGAGGGAGAGCAGGCAGCCCAAAGCACGTCCAGGATTTACAGAGCTCGGGGTGGCCCCAGCAGGGAGCAGGGCTGGAACAAGATCAGCTTTAAGGGACCTGAAATTTCCCTCCTCTGGTTTTCTGTCTTTACCACCCCAAACCACGCGGGGATTTTCTGAGGGATTTGAAGATTGGTTTGGAAATATCGCCGTGGCTCAGGATGTCTGGAGCTGCTGCAGCACAGGGATGCTCAGGGCAGAGCTCCAGAGTCATTCCACAACTCCTGCCAACACCAGACACACCACCCAGCCCACCCAGGCAGCTCTGGGTACCCCAAAACCACGGGTTTTGAGGCATAACGGCCAACAATTTTGATTTTTTAGAATCTAAACGAATTATTTAGGAGGTTTCTGCCCTGCTGCTGCTGCCGTGCCCTGCCAGGAGCTGCCTGGGACGTGAACTTTGGGTAAGAACGTGAGATAATCAGCAGCAGATTCATCAGCAGGGACAAAAGACTGAAACGGAGTTGAAAAAGGGGAAAGAAAGAAAAAAAAAAAAGTGGGGGGATGGAGATCTACGAATAATTTTAGAAATAAGCTGCAAGTTGCACAGTCACAAAGCGGAGGCTGGAATGCACTTTTCCAGAGTTTGTAAAGACTCATTTAATTTCTATAGAAACTGAGCAGCAAACAGGTAATTTTCTCTGCAAATTGCTTCTATCACCTCTGGAATGCTCTGCAAGAGCAATGTATTTCCCTCGTGTCTTCTTAATCCCCTGTTATTTTCATTATAAATTTAATTAAGCTCTTGTAGAGAACATTCCATGACATATGAGCTGAGTTTTGTTTTTCTGCCGGAGCGGGGACAGAAAGGAGCTGCTGAATTGTGTGGCAATTGGATTTCTTTTCTTCTGGGTAAATATTTCAAATGACACCGAGCAGAGGAGACATTTGCTGAATCAATAGAGCTGAAGCTCAGGAAAGGAGCTGCACAGGAAGGTCTGAGCATCCCAAAAATTCCTTCAGCCAGGCCTCTCCTCCTTGGACAAAATTAGGGAATATCAAGAGCAAGTAAATCAGGGAAATGCCAAGATTTTTGGGGGTTTTTTTTTTGGTGGTTGCAATAAAAAAAGTCCATTTTTTACACTCCCTGCAACCCAAAATGTCACCAGCATTTCATTTCATAACCTGCCCAGCTCCCCACTTCACCAATGGCAAATGTTAAAAATGAATCATTTCATTACAATTTATTTTAAATGAGATCTAAAGGCTCTGGTGCCAAAGCATCACGAAAAACTGAGTTTGAATACAATTCACATCAATACCTTAAGTTAATATAAAATGAAAACCACATTAGCAGAGGTTGGGCATTTTAACCCCTCTTTTTAACCTGTTTAATCTCGTGTTATCAGGCAATAACAGCTCTCCTGCAGAGCTGGGGTTGTTTGTTTCTATTTCAGCCTCTTCCCAGCTCAAGGCCATGACAAGTCACCCTCCCAGCAGGCACGTTTGGGGACTCAGGAGGCACAGCAGGGCTGTCAGAGCTGCACACCAGGGAATCAAACCCACCAAGAAGATGTTTTTCACAGGACTGATCGAGCTCTGGAACATCTTCCTGAAGGAAAGCAGGAATTATTTCTCCCCAGAGACACGACTCAAACCTTGACCTGCAAGCAGCCAGATCTCGTGTGTGATTATTCTGGAATTTCTGTTCCCTGTGCTGCATCCATTTCAATGCTCTCTAGCAGTGATTTTTCCTCCCTGCCTTGTTTTATTTGATTCTTGTCACAGAAAGGAGATGTCAGGAAATCTGACACATTGCTGTGCCAGCAGCAGGTGAGAATCTCACGATTCAATTCCCACCTGTGCCAGGGCCATTTTACACCAATTTTCTCTGTAGGAAAACATGGAATGAAAGCAATAAAAGCTGTGGAAGACGTGTGTGTGCTGTGCACAGCTTCAGCACTGCCTGCATGAACAGGGGGTGCATAAATCCCTGCTTAGGAAGGGAAAGCACTGCCTAAAGTATCACCGTTCTACAAGCTTGGAAAAGAACTTGTCATCAAATAACTTCATTTTCTTTTACTCTCTGAGTGTTCACGCTTAAAATCTTCCATTAAAAAGGGCAAATATTTTCCTGTAATCAGCAGGGGACAGGACAAGGTTCTTTAAGAATCACAGCTGATGTGGGAAAGCTCAAGCTGCAGATCCCAGAGCTGGTGAATTTACAGATCTGTCCTTCCTGGGATAAGCCTGGGTCTGGGGATCTTCGCCTCGTTCACAGTCCTGTTCCCGGGTTTGCCCCCCGAGGCCTCCTGGAGCAGGGTGATGATGTTCTCCCGCTGGTGCCTCACGGCCAGCTGCAGGGCCGTGCACCCGGCGATGTCCTCCACGTCCAGCAGCGCCCCTGCCTTCAGCAGGGTCTTGACGATGGCCATGTTGCCCTTGAGCACCGCCAGGTGCAGCGGGGTCCAGCCCACCTTGTTCCTGGCGTTGACGTCGGCCCGGCACTCCAGGAGGTTGATGACGCTGAGGAAGGAGCCCCTGAGCACGGCGAAGTGCAGGGGGGCCCAGTGGGACCTCTCGGCCGTGTTGGGGTCGGCCCCGCAGCGCAGCAGCTCGCTGACCACCGGCTCGTCGCCGTAGCGCGTGGCCAGGTGCAGCGGCGTCCAGTCCATGCTGCCCTTGGCGTCCAGCCGGGCGCGGCTGCCCTTCAGCAGCCGGATGATCTCGATGTGCCCCTTGAAGGAGGCCAGGTGCAGGGGGGTCCAGCCTTTGTCCGTCCTCAGCTCCACGTTGGCCCCGTATTTGATGAGTTTCTCGCAGATCAGGTACTTGCCCCTGACCACGGCCAGGTGCAGGGCGCTGTAGTGGTTCTGGTCCAGGCTGTTGACGGAGATGCCGTTCTTCAGCAGATACTGCACCACCCTGAACTTGCCCCTCTCCACGGCCACGTGCAGCGGGGTCCTGAGGTTCTTCTGCTTCCTCTCCAGGTCGGCCCCCTGGCTGGCCAGCAGCTTGACCAGGCCGACGTGCCCGAAGCACGCGGCCACGTGCAGGGCGGTCTTGCCGTCCACCTCCTGCGTGTTGGAGTCGGCCTGGCGCGACAGCAGCACCCGCGCCACGTTCTCGAAGTTGTTCTGCGCCGCCAGGTGCAGCGGGGTCCACCCGTCGTGCTCCTGGGCGTCCACGCGGGCCTGGTGGTCCAGCAGCAGCCGCACGGTGCGGTCGTCGCCGTGCTGGGCCGCGAAGTGCAGCGGGCTCCAGCCGTCCTCGTCGGCCGCGTTGACGTCGGCGCCGTGCTCGATGAGGACGGAGCAGATCTCGGGGAGCCGGCGCTGCACGGCCAGCAGCAGCGGGGTGCAGCCGCCGCCCGCCGCGCCGTTGACGCCGGCCCCGCGGCCCAGCAGGAAGCGCACCCTGCCCACGTTGCCCTGCAGCACCAGCAGGTGCAGAAGGGTCAGGCCGTTCTCCTGCACCCTGCCCAGCTCCTCGGGCCCCAGCTCCTCGGGGCTGCCGGCCTCCCCGTGTGGAGCTGGGAGAGGAACCTCCTGAGGGTCCTTTCCTAAAGGCAGGGAAGAAAAACGGGAGGAAAAAAGAGTGAAAAACTCCCAGGAAGGGAGGAGGGCCTGTGACTCTTGGTAGAATGACATGAAGTCGTTTGAGAGATGAGGAATGTAAAATAAAGCCAGACAAGCACTGGGACATTTGGCCTCTCTCTCACAGTACCTGTTTCCTGAATAGTTCATTTTCCTTAACTTAAATTTTTCCTTAACTTAAAATTTTCCTTGATTTGAAATGTCCCCCACAAGGAAAACCTTATGAGCCACATCTTTCTACAACAAAACAGACAACTTTTACAGCTTCCCCTTTTATAATTTTCAATTCTAAAGCCATTCCCCTACTTACCCCCACTCCTGGTGTCTCGGGGGAAGGTGAACTCCTCTTTGTCACCCTTGTTTTCAGAAAGCAGGAAAGGAAAAGGATAAAACAGAGTGTTTATTTCCATTCTGTAATGTTTGCACCAAGTCCTTTGCTGCTGCTCTGCAGTTTTTTGTCATCATTTGAGAGTTTTTTATCCAATCCTTGTTTTTGCACCCAAAACTCAGCTAAGCCAATCACGACACAGCAGGAATGGGGGAACATGAAGATGATCTCTGGGTATCCATGAGCTTTTCCTCCTTGTGCTCATATGCTCCCAAACACACCCGTATTCTACTTCCTGACTGCATGGCAGCATCCCAAAATTATTTCCTTTGTTGTTTAGGGACCCCCAAGCCCCTCCTTCTTCAGGCCTCTGGTTTCTTGCACAGCTTGGCAAAACCCTCTAAATACCAATAATTCCCAGCTCCTATCTCTCTCTGTTTTCTAGGCACAATTACTCCAGTAGCTGGGATTACATCGTTACTATCCAGAAGCCTGATTTTTTTTTCTTAGCCAGAGAAACATGGGGATTTCAAACTATTTAAAAAAAAAATTCTGTAAGAATTGTTCCAAGTGGAACATCCTCAGTTTTTTGTGCTGTGAACAGCACCCTGTGATTCTGTGTTTGCTTGTGTTTCTTTTAGTGACTGAATAATAAACCCACTTTACCTGAGCAGGTCCAGAAAAGGGTTTTCCTCTCAGACTCTTTTATCATTTAGTGCATTTGTTAATTAATTTGCAAGCGTCTTCTCCCCATCAATGAATTACAGAGGCACAGCTTGTGCAGACACCCTGTGAAGGTGCTGAGGTGCACCTTTGGGAGGGGAGAGAGCTTCAAGATCTGGTAAGAACATGGAGCAGACTCAGAGGACTTGGCTGAGAGGCGCAGGGGGGTTCTCCTCACCTGCTGGCTCCTGGAGATGGCCGGTTTGTGGGACATCTTCCTGACCAGGCGCTCGTTCTCCGGGTCCTGCACCAGGCTCTGGATCAGAGCCAGCAGCACGTCGGTCTCCACAGGGATATCTGCCAGGGCACAGCAGTTCAGCTCTGCAGGCTGCCCCAGCTCCAGAGCCAGGCAGGACCCACGTGGGAAGGGAGGGAAAAGGGATGAGGGGATGTGTGACAGCAAAAGGGCACCCAGCTGTTAAACCACGGAGGGGAACTGGGAAAACTGGACACAAACCCTGCTTATCACCCCACGGGGCTGACCCTTGGCTGATCCACACCCCGGTCCCACCTGCAAAGCTGGGCCTTTGCTTGGGGTCCTGATCCCAGCACCTCTTCATCAGGTCGACCATCTGGTGGCACTCCCCGGGCCAGTCGTCCCTGACGAGCTCCAGCCCCGGCCTCTTCCCCGCGGCCACCTTCACGATGATGGCCATCATGTTGGCCCCTGGAAAAACCCAGCACATCCTGGGTGTTCTCCCTGGGAAAAGGGCTGCAGTAAACATTCCAGGGGTGCGGGGTTTGTGTTTACCTGTGTAAGGCTTTTTCTGCATCAGCACCTCCCAGATGACGATGCCGAAGCTGCGAGGGAGGAGAGACCGTGAGCACTTGGACATGAAATGCACTCATTGCTTCTGCCTTCTGCAGAAATGGGAAGATCAGGAAGGACGTTCTTCAGGAGGGAAGAATTTCATCTCCCAGAGCAGAAGGATTTCATTCCCCAGGCCAAAAGGCTCAGGCCTTGTGGTTCTGCCTCATGCATCTCCCTTCAGAGTGGGGTCATCACCCTCCAAAGGGTCTGAGCAGTGAATCAGTGACTTGGGGCCTTTCCTGGCAAAGTCAGGCTCTCAGTGCCTTTTTCCACTTTATTCACATTGAGGTTTCGAGCCTTTAGCTCCTGCAAGTCCCTGTGGCTGTGCAAATCCTCCTTTCCCTCTTGCCTCTACCCTCTGTGCTGCAAAGGCCAAGGAGCTGAGCAATTTCCAGACATGGACGTGGAGCTCGTGTGAATGTGCTGCAAAGCTCCTCGCCCAAAAGGGCAAAAGCCAAGCTGAAATCTCTCCTCTGCCTGTTCCTGACCAAAATGAAGCTGAACACGGAGGCAGATAAGCCAATATTGGAATTGTTTTAAAATCAGTCTCAGCAGGGACTGTGATGGAAGAGCAGCACTGGCTGTTTGGGCTCTGCTCTCACTCCTGTTCATGGGAACAGGGTGTGATGGCACCTGGGGCAGTGCAGCCTGCAGCTCCCAGGGAGGTGCATTGGGATGATGATTACCCACAGAGAACCCTCCTCCCTCTCAGTCTCACCACCAATGTGAGCTCCCCAGTGTGTTCCCCACATCCTAGGAGGCAGAAAACCAGAATTTTAACAAACTGAGGCAGTGTTCAGCTCCCTTTGCTGGGTGTCACAGCTCCTGGGTGCCCTGGGCCAGCCCTCACCTGTACACATCGTACTTGATCCCCGGGGGTTTGCTGTTCTGCAGGAACATTTCGGGGGGGATGTAGCTCAGGGTGCCCCTCAGAGCTGAGCTCTCGATGTACTGCATCCTGCTGGATTGCTCCATCCACTTGGACAGCCCAAAGTCGGAGATCTGCAAGCAGGAACAGGGAAGCTGCCCCAAAATGCTCACACTCAGCCCTCCTGCTGTCACCCAGACATCTCCCATCTTTGGATCAGGGAAGGAGGAGGTGTGAGCAGCTGGAGCGTGACAAAACCTGACAGCCTGCAGCCACTGAGTCCAGCTGGAGCCTGTGCTGGCCCAGAGTCCCTGTGTGACCCTGAGAACACCGTGTAATTTGCTCAGCAGCTGCTTGTTAAACACCCCACAGGTCACTCTGTCACGGGGTGTTCCTGAAGAACCAGATTTGCTGGGATTCTGCCCCTGTCTGGCAGAAATAGCCTGGCTCTGATGTGAGGGATGGCTGTACCTTGACGTGCATGTTCCCATCCAGGAGGACGTTCCCTGGCTTCAGATCCAAGTGCAGCAGGGGAGGGCTCATGCTGTGCAGGAAATTCATGGCCAAGCCCATCTCATGGATCACCCGGAATTTCAGCTGCCAGGACATTCTGTGGGTGGGAAGGATCCTCTCCAAGGACCCCCTGGCCATGTATTCCATCACTATCCCCAGAGGGCTGTTGCACACCCCGTAGATGGTGACAATGTGCTGGAATTTGATTTTCTCCATCTTGCTTGCCTCTTCCATTAGACAGTTCATGCTGGTCCTGGAAAGTGGAAAATAAAAAGTAAAAAATAAAAAATAGAAAATAAAAAATAAAAAATAAAAAAAAAATAGACTGGGAGCAAGAAATTTTATCAGTTGATTCACAGGCTCAGTAACTCTGTAGTAACTTAGTGACACCCAGCCTTTCTGAGCACTGCCTACCCCAAAAAGATTCATCCCAAATTCCCCCTTGAGCTGATGATAATGCTGCCACACAGTGATCTTTTGCAGACTAAAATCTGACATGGATGGTGTTGTGCCTTCTCAAAACGAGCTGAGGTTTATTTGGTGGTTTATTCAGCCACCACAGGGAAAGAGATGAAAAACTGGCACTTGTTTCAGTCCTTAGCAGTGAGGACAGAGAACCTGTGCTTGTGACACTGGTGACACGGCTTTAAACTGCCCCAGGGCAGGGTTAGATGGGGAGGAATCCTTCCCTGTGACAGCGAGGAGGGGCTGGCATGCAATTCCCAGAGGCTGCCCCATCCCGGCAAGTGTCCAAGGCCAGGTTGGAGCAGCCTGGGACACTGGAAGGTGCCCCTGGCCACGGCAGGGAGGATTGAAATGAGCTTTAAGGCTCCTCCCAGCCCAAAGCACTCTGTGGACCCATGGAATTGCCAGCGTTCCCTGGCAGCAGGATGCCAGGAGCGGGCACAGCTCCGTGCCACGCCTTGGCCACCCCTGCAGCTCCTCCTGTGCCTGCAGCTCTGTCCCTGGGTGTCTGTCCCACGGTGACTCTGCTCCCAGGGGCAGCCTGCCGTGCCTGCTGCTGCCTGCCAGCTCTGGCAGACCTGTTTCTCCAAATTCTCCAAAGGCTCACCCCTCCCGACCTGCTGAACGAGTTTGGGGGAGCAGCCAAGCAGCAAAGTGCCAGGAGTGCTTTTAAAAAGCACACCCTGGGAACGGAGCTGAGCTGCCAGCAATTAGGCCAGGCCATTAATTGATCTAAAATGGTTCAGCCAAGCAAAATCTTCTGCCAGAATTCCTCTGGCAGGATCCTCACAGTGAGACCTACCCGTGGGTTGAGGAATCTCAGGTATTTTACTACAATTGATAAATTACAGAATTCAAATGGATTATTTGACTCTGCGCCCCCCCCCCCCCCCCCCCCCCCCCAACAAAGAAGAACAAAATGCAAAAGTAGAATCTGCAGAGCAAACTGAGGACAATCAGTGCTCAGTCAGAATTCAGTTGTTGTCCGTAAGAAGAAATCACAAGAGTGAGATTTTTATCCTGGCAGGATCGTTCCAAATTGAAGGGAATAAAATTTTAAATTAAATAAGTCCATCAACTCTGCTGTTTTCCCATCAGCTCTGCCTGCATTGGATGTGTTATCAGCAGTGGTTGTGATTACCTGGCCCTGCTCCATCTCCAGACACAAGGTGGGCACCAGAAGAGTCTCTGGTGAGAGACAGAGCAGGCAGCAGAGAGGAGCTGCAGGTGCACCGCGGAGAGGAAAGAGATGTCTGGAGGCTACGGGAGCAGGGCAGCAAAACCAGCTGGAAATCCTCTGCCCCTCATCTTTAAACCTGGTGCTTTTGGTGATTCATTCAGTCTGATGGATACACCTCAGCCCAATGTGCAGTGGGAGCTGTAAATAACCCACCAGGCTGCTTTTATCCGTGGGTAAGGTGCTGGCCTCAGCCCTGCTCCATCCCCCGTGTTCCTTGTGCACCCACACGAGACAGGGAAAGGCAGAACTCCTATTCCCCACTCCCTCTGAGTACCCTGCCCTTCCCACGGAGCAGAAACTCCTTCCTGCAGAGTTTTATCCCCCAATCCATCCAGCTGGCGTGGCCAGAGCAGAGCAGCGCTTACCTGTCCAGGCTGGAGTCCTGCAGCAGGTACGGGGAGCACTTCACCGCATAGACCGTCCTCCACCTCCTGTGCTTCACCTGGTACACGTGGCCAAAGCCCCCGCTGGCCACCTTCAGCCACTCATCCTCAAAATCCTCCTTGCTGAACACGGTCAGGCTGCCCAGCTGCCCGCCCCGCTCCGTGCCCATGGCACAGCTGGCTCTGCTGCCTGCTGGGGAGGCACAGGAGCTCCTCCTGCCCTGCCCTGCCCTGCCCTGCCCTGCCCGGGGAGGTGGGGATTCACCCCAGGGCAGCCCTGGCAGCTCCTGCCAAGAGGTGGATCCTCAGTGTGGCCGCTCAGTGTTCTGCTCAAATGCTCATGTATTTTATTTTTCACTCAGGTTCAGCTCCAGCCTGGCAGCGTGGCTCTGCTCTCTCACATCCAGCACTGGATGGGTAAATCCTCAAAGAATTTCAGGTGGGAAAGGGTGCAGAGGATGAGTCTTCAGTGGTTGCTGTGTGCTGAGAGTGGGATTCCTCACCTGAAGCATTTGTGGGAAGGGAGGTGGGACCTGGGGCAGGGTGAGGCTTGGAGGGAACAGAGAAACCCACCAGGCAGAATTGTACATGAGGGACATGGAAAACACTCCAGAGAGAATAGGGGAAAATAACCCAGAAGTAGCTGGATGGAGAGGTGGAAAACACTCCAGAAAGATGAAAAACGGAGTTAAAAAACTCCCCAGAAGAAGCTGGATGGAGAGGTGGAAAACACTCTGAGTTAAAAAACTCCCCAGAAGTAGTTGGATGGAGAGGTTCTAGAAAAAAAACACTCTAGAAAGATAAAGAACAGGAAAAACCCCAAACAACCAGAAGTGGCACCTGAGTGCATGAGGCTGAGAAAAAACCTCAGCAGAAATACCAGAAATGTGGCAAACCAGAGCAGTTCCCTCAGGGATAAAACAAAATCTCCCTGGCAGTGGGTGTTTGGAGGAACACAGACTGGTCAGAGCAGTTTAACCCTCACCATGTGAGCACCAGGAGCAGCACACACACCTTCAGCTGAAAAGGGGTTAAAAACTCTCATCTGGGTCTTGTGCATTTGTGTCTTTAATGCCTCAGCTCTCTCTGGAGGTAGCTCAGTGTCAAATACAAGGTGGTGCTGATTTGCTCAGTGCTACAAATAATAATTAGCACTGCTGCAGGGTAATTGTCTCACTGCCAGCAAGCCTTGGCCTGGGATTTTTAGTTCTGTGGCAGAATCTTGAGGAAATCCTTGGAGGAAGCCTGGCCCAAGTGGAAATGTGAGTTACTTGTGTTACACTGACACCAGGGGCTCTGGCAGTGGACTCCCTTCTTTTCAGGAGAGGGAAAAGGAAAGGAAAAAAGGCTCTGCAGCATTTAGGGAGGAAAAACCCCAATTAGAAGGAGATTGCTGCCAATTCCCTGGCACTCCCCAGGAGCTGCCCACCTGGAGTGATGCCCTGCTGCCCTCCACTCCCTGCTGCCAACACAATTTTGGAGCTGAGGACAAGGACAGAGGGCCCCATTCCCTCCCCTGCAGACACAGACCAGACAAACACTGCGAGGCTCAGGTTTATTGCAGAGCTCAGGAGCAGGGGAACACTCAGCCCACGGCTGCAGAGGGGCAGCAGCTGCTGCTTCTCTCCTTCCCCACACCTTCCAGGGGCATTTCTGTGCCAACAGAAACGCCCCAGAGCTCAGGAATGCCCCAGAGCTCAGGAGTTCCAGCTCTGAGGGCAGGAGGAGCAGGAGGTGAGGTGCTGCTGGTCATTCCCTCCCCAGAGGTGCTTTCCTTGCTCACTCTCCCGGTGCTGCAGCTGCTGCAGGAGGTCCTGCACAGGATGGAGCAGCCCCAGCTCCTCTGGGACAGGGGGATGTGGGACTGGAGCCTGGAGGGGGCTCTCACAGCCCCCCTTGGCTGCTCTCCCCATAGCCAGCCCTTGAAGCCCCCAGGAGAGCCCTGTTTGTGTCCCCCATCCCATGGATGCCTTTCCCCAGTGCATTCCAGCAGATTCTGGAGTTCTCTGACCATCAGTGGGGACTTGGTGAGAACAGCAGCAGGACTAAAGGGAAGGAGGAAGGCACTTGGCTCCTTGGAGGTGAGAGAAGCTGTAAAACCAAGGGGACACATCTCTGGGGCTCTGGGTCGTGTCCACACACCCAACTCCATCCTTTTCCCCTCCACCTCCCCCTGGGGGCAGGCTCCAGTGCCCAGTGCTGCATTTCACCTGGCTCTCCCCTCTGCTGTGCCCAGCCTGGGCTGGCTCTGCTGGCCCTGGGGCACACAGCGATTCCTCCTCTACCCTGCAATCTGTGGGCTCTGATGCAGAAGGAAAAGAAGGGATGAGAGGCAGGCTCGGGGCAGAGGTGGCATCTCCTGCTCCCTGGTCAGCAGGGGCTCTACAGAAGCAAAGCAAATTCAGCTGCTTCTCTGGTGGCTGGTGGAGCTGCAGGAGCAGTTCAGCTGCTGGGATCAGAGCCCGTGGAATTCTCCAAACGGGGGATAACGGCTGGGCTTGGCTCTGTGCCGCTGGTGCAGCCACAGCCCCATGAAAGCACTGCCCAGGACTGCACAGCCAGCCAGGGCCCCCAGCAGGATGGGCAGCAGCGTGGCAGGAGCAGCACCTGGACACACAGAGAGGGAATGGAGCAGTGAGAAATGTTCTTTGCACAAACAAGCACAGCCACAAGGAGTTAGGGATGTTTTGAGAAGTCTCTTATGTTTTACCAGCTCAGTGTCACTCTTTTCTAACAGCTATAAACATTAATTAACATCAGCCAGCTTCTGTGTTTCACCTGTGAACACTCCTGACCTATGGCCAGCCTCATTCTGCTCCAAAATGCTGCAATTCTTTACAGACAGAACATTCTGCCTCATTTTTCTCCCCTTCCCTCCTCCTAAATCTTCAGTTCCCTCACAGGGTGCCTTTGGAACTCTGTTGGATGTGACCCTGATTAACCCCCACGTCTGGGATTCAGGGAGGCCAAAGAAAAGGTGAGGAGTTGTTGGGATATAACCTAATCAAGAAAGTTATTAAAAATGTGCTGTTTTTTCTGCAGGAAAAGCTGAGCAAAAACCTCTGCAAGAGAAATGAAACCACGAGAGCCCCACCTTCCACTGGCTTCAACAGAAACCTGTTGTTCATCCTCCAGATGGGCCCGAGGGACACCAGATTGTGCAGGTTTCCATGGCTGGTCCTGTCACTGGGCTGGGCGAGGGGCTCCATACTTTCCAAGCAGCCCTGGGAAAGAGATGGAAAACACCTGGAAGTGTCCTGAACAGAACCCCCTGCCCCAGAGCTTCCTCAGTCTTTTCCACCTCTGCTGTCGTTCCTAAAGGTGAGTTTCCAATCCTTGCACCAGGACATGTGTAAATCTTAATTCCCTTTTTTAGGGATTACCAACTATTGCCACCCTTCCACACCTTTAATTCCTCTCCCAGACTTTAACCAGAGGTTGGCTCTGGTGGAAGCACCAAGGGAGCAGATCCCCCCCAGTACCTGTTCACATCCTGGCTGGCCTGGCAGACAGACCCTCAGCTCACAGTGCAGGTAGGCCACGGAGTGGTTCAGCATCTGGAACAGCTGGATGGAGAAGCTAGTGGCTCTGGAGCTGCCACCCTCCAGCAGCTGGATGTGTCTGCACTCCAAGGGCAGCCTGGCAGGAGCAACCAGCAAACAGCTGCAGATCCCAGCTCTGCACAAACTGCACAGCCCAGCCCCGTCCGAGGGGCAGGAAAATCCAGCAGCAGCAGCAGCACTCCCTGCTGGAGCTGCCCTGCTCAGAGCCCAGAGCAGCAGAACTCTTTTGGGAGGTTGGTTTTGCTGTAGTGTGCCCATCACCCCCTGAGCTGCTGGAACCCACATTTCACCCCTCTGTGGGTTTACAAACCCCGGGCAATGACTCCTCCATGCCCCTGGGGGGATGAAAAGGGCTGTGGGTGTAGCAGCTGGCACCCCTGCCCTGCCCTGGATGTGCCTCCCCAGCAGGAAGGGGACGCTGCACCGCTGTGACAGCCCCCGGGGGCAGCAGGACGGGTGATTTCCATCCATAAATCCTACCCCAAGGGAGCTGTTCCCCATTCCCACCTGCGGAAGAGGCAGCACTGGGCCCCCGCAGCGCCGGGGGTGGCCGAGGGGGACACGCAGCACGAGTGCAGCTGCAGCAGGGCCTGGCTGCTGTCGCTCTGCAGGGCCACCAGGGCCACGAAGGTGTCGTGGGGCCGCTCCGAGCCCGGCTCCCCGCGGGCTGTGTCCCCTGCGGGGCTCAGGCTCAGCCGCACCGAGTGGTTCCCGGCGCCGCAGGAGTCGCTGACGATGGCGAGGCTGGGGACAGAGGGGACAAAGGGAATAGAATAGAAAAGAATAGGATAGAATATGATATTTTCCGAAAAATCCTTTTGCTAGGATTTTTGCTCCTGAGAAGCTGAAGAGCCTCAGGAAAGAAATGTAAACAATAACTATATGCTGCTGTGGAATGTAACAAGTGCATCTGTGATTTGTGCATGTGGATTGTTTCTAATTAATGGCCAATCACAGTCAGATGGCTCCGACTCTCTGAGAGTCATGAGCTTTTGTTATCATTCCTCTCCTGTCCTTCTAGCCTTCTGATGAACCTTTTCTATCTACTCTTTTTAGTATAGTTTTAGTATAGCATTTTAATATAATATATATCATAATATAATAAAGCAACCTGCTGAAACATGGAGTCAAGATTCAGGTCTCTTCGCTCATCCTGGGAGCCCCTGTCAGTTCAACCATAGGAATAGGAGAGAATGGAATGGAATGGAATGGAATAGAATAGAATAGAATAGAATAGAATAGAATAGAATAGAATAGAATAGAATAGAATAGAATAGAATAGAATAGAATAGCAGCGGGGCTGCGGCGGAGCAGCCAAAGGGAGCCGGCGGTACTTGCCCGTCCAGCGCGGTGACATCCGAGCGCAGCGCCCTGCTCTGGTGCCAGTCGCTCCGCAGCGCTCCGGGCTCCAGGGTCACCGCTGTCCCCAAGCCTTCAGCTGCTCCGTCTGTCACCTCCCCGGTCCTGCCCTCCTGCTCCGTGCCCGGCAGCAGCCCCGGGGTCGAGCCCTCAGCCCCCAGCCCGGGCTGCCCCGGCGCTGTCCGAGCCCGGCTCCCGGCGGGGCTGCGGGGGCTCTGCGGGCCCGGGGACACCCGGGGAAGGGGCTCCGGGTC